GAGGAGTTTGTCTTGTCTCAGATTTTTAGGTGCCTAAGTAACGACCACAGTCCCTGATACAACAGATTGCTGCTTTGTGACTGAGACTTGCCTTGGGGAGTATGGCCTGGAGAGTAAAAAAGGAAACAGAATAATAGGGATTCTCTCCATGCTCTCTGTCCCACAGGGTCCCCTATTTTAGGTCCCTCTGGCCAGAAAGAGGGTTTCTTTTTGAGTTTTTTCTCTCTGCATCCACTACATAGTTCTAGGATTTGGGCTCTCCTTGAGTCTAAACTAGGAGATACAAGAAGAAAAAAAATCAGGAAGCTCACTGCCACGATGGCCGTTTTTACTGGTTTTGAGCAATTCACCTTCTATTATATACTTTTCAGAGTCCATGGATAGTTGCTTTATGTATTCTGTCCAGGGCTTTTAGTTTTAATTAGTGAGAGAGATATGGCACAATGTGCTTACACCATCTTAATGGGACCGGAAGCACTTTATATTTAGAATTTTGAACAGTCATGGCAGAAAGAAGAGTACAGTGGTTGAGCAAATGACTTTGGAGGCAGAATGTGCTGGAATCTTACTTTAGTCACAGGCTAATCTCTGAACCTTAATTCTTCAACTATAAGATGATGATTCTACATGTTCAGTGTTTATGAACATCTACTATGTGCTAATGATTATTAGTGTCAGAGTTCAAATTACCTTCAGAAACCTTCTATTCCAGTCTCTAATTTTCAGAAGAGGAGCCTCACCCCAAAGAGGGACAGGGTCTTGAGCTGCGTCACCAGCTGGGAACTGCTACAGCTGGTACTACTCACTCCCAAGCCAGAGACCTTCCCACTTTATGTGAATGGCCATTTAATCTCTTTGACTGATTGTGGGGAGGCGCGGGGGGTGGAGGGAGAAAGCCAGTTACAGTAAATCTCCTTCATACAAACCTTCAAGTTGGGAACTTTCAAAGATGCGAACGCAAGGAGTGAAACTATGCAGCTTGCCCTCTGTCTCCTATTGCTGACGATACTTCAGCTCTACATCTCCCACCTCCTCTCCCTCCTCCAGTAAGTAACTCTTCTTGCCTGTTCACTCCATACCAGCCCCTGTATGCCAGCTGTTGTACTATACTGTACTACTGTACTTTTCAAGGTACTGTACTGTAAGATTAAAAATGTTTATTTTTTTGTGTTTTTTATGTATTATTTGTGTGAAAAGTATTATAAACTTATTATAGTACAGCACTATATAGCCGATTGTGTTAGTTGGGTACCTAAGCTGACTTTGTTGGACCTATGAACAAATTGGACTTATGAATGCGCTCTCAGAATGAAACTCGTTCTTATGTAGGGAACTTACTGTACTTAGTATGAGCTGGCCTTGTAAAAAGATCATCTTTAGCCTGGGGAATTTATGCAACAAAAATGTATTGCAGGGTAGGAAAGCTCACGTTGGATTGCTCTTCACCTAATCCCCTGGACATTTTCCCAAGCACCTGCTGCATCTAGGAACGTGCACCTAACCCAGAAGAAAGTGGAAAGTCCCAGACATGCGCTCCCCTCAAGCGTCTGCCATTTGAATGGAGAGGGAGGGGAGGTGCATACAGGACAAAGAAGGATTTAACAATACAAAGGAATAGGTGCTAAGTTCTCACGGAGTAATAAACAAGCCCAGGGCTGTGGGAGTTTAGGCAAGATCGGGTAGAAGTAAGTACTTGGACTTTGGAGGACAGCCCTGGTTTGCAGCCCTCCTCTGCCACTTCTTAGTGGCACTTCTGCCACCTCTGCCACTTCTGCCACTCTTACACAACTTAGTGTAAGTTATATCATCTTCAGAGCCTTGTTATAAAATAAGAATTACACCAAGTACCAGCTTCATAGAGTTGTGGTCTTTGCAGTATTACAAAATAATTGTAGTTAACATTTACTAAGTCCTTACTGTGCGCCATTTCAATGCTCATGTAATTCTCCAAAAGATTCTAACAGGTAAGTTTTCAGATCAGGAAACTGAGGCACAGATCACCCTAATGGTGCATGAAGTGTGCTTAGCACATGGCTGGATCAAGGAGAAGGGGAAGGTGAGGGTGGGCCCTTGGTCAGTAGAAGTCTGAGGAGGAAATTATGAGATGAGGCCAAAGAGTTGGTACCAAAGATAGAAGAGACCTTGGAATGCCCAACAGGCCCAAGAGGCAGGCTGGCCTCAGTTTGGATTCTCTTAGAGCCAGATATGCATCTGGGGAAGAAGAATCCTGAGAACATGGTATGTGGGGAAATGTGCCTCTGGGGAGCCAGGGCACTCTAGTCCCAGTGCTGCTGCCAGCCCACTGCATAACCTGAGTCTTGGCCTTCCCATCCGTACAGAGAGGGGCAAGTCCACTAGAATTGGGAGCCTCAAACTCAAGTGCTTTTGGAAGACAACGTGGGTGGAGAAGCCAGGTATATGTCAATGTGAGAGGGAGAGGTGGGCCTGGTAGGTGGAGAAAGAATGTTGTGCTTAAAGGCATTCATATTCAGTTGTCTGAAAGACTGGCCAAACAAAATGCACCTGCTGGCCAGATCGGGCCGCCCCAGGTAGTTGAGCTCCTTGGTCTGGTCGACCTGCAGGGTGCTTCCAGCTCTGAACGGTCCAGGGATCATCTTGTGACTGCAGGCCTTCCTTTCCTTTCTTTCTTTTTTTTTTTTTTTAATTATTTATTCACTTATTTTGGCTGCGCTGGGTCTTAGTTGCAGCACGCAGAATCTTCATTGCGGCATGTGGACTTCTTAGTTGCCGCATGTGGACTCTTAGTTGCAGCATGCATATGGGATCTAGTTCCCCGACCAGGGATCGAACCCTGGGCCCGCTGCGTGAGGAGCGCCGAGTCTTACCCATTGAACCACCAGGAAGTCCCTCTTTTTTTTTTTTTCTTTAATTGTGGTGAACTATACCTCACATAAAATTTACCATCTTAACCAGTTTTAAGTGTACAGTTCAGTGACATAAAGTACATTCATATTGTTGTACAAAGATCATCACCATCCATCTCTTTTCATCTTGCAAAACCAAAACCGTGTACCCATTAAACAATAATTCCCCATTTATTCCTCCCCCCAGCCCATGGGAATCACCAGTCTAATTTCTGACTCTGAATCTGACTACTCCAGTTACCTCATATAAGTGGAATCACATAGTATCTGTCATTTTGTGACTGGCTTACTTCACTTAGCTTAATGTCTACAAGAGTCATCCATGTTGGGGTATATGTCAGGATTTCCTTCTTTTAAAGGCTGAATAATATTCCATTGTATGTATGGACCACACTTTGTTTATCCATTCCTTCATCGGTGGACATTCAGGTTGCCTCCAGCTTCTGGCTACTGTGAATAATGCTGCTATGAACGTAGGTATACAAATATCTGTGCATGTTCCTGCTTCCGATTCTTTTGTGTACATATGCCTGGAAGTGGCATGCCTTTCTTCTTTATGCTTGTGTTCCTCTTTCTCCTCCTCTCTTCTTACATTGTGGCGTTTCTGTAGGTTCTGCCCCTGGAAAACAAGATGAAGGATGCCCGCCGCTTCCCAGTCATCCTGTCTTTGGGAATGTCCATCGTTACTGCCCTCTACCTCAGCGTCGGGACTCTGGGCTACCTGCGGTTCGGAAATGACATCAAGGCCAGCATAACCCTTAACCTGCCCAACTGCTGGTAACTCTATGGGCTCTCAGGCGGTAGGGACTCAGGGCCAGTGGGAACAGGAACATATAGGTCACTTTCTCCTCCTTTCCACAGAAGGTAAACTGAGGTCTGGAGGGTCTCCACAGGGAGAAGCAGAGCTGACACTGGAACCCTGGGCTCTGGATTCTCTGTCCAGGGACCTCTTCTTCAATAACAGCCTCCCATGTTGAGAGAGGCCTTGATAGCTATAGCTTAGTATGAGGAAGGACATGATTTAGGAAGAGAGGGGAGAAGTCAGAGTCCTTGGTCACCTAAAGAGAGAAAGGAGGGGCACAGAGAAGGGCAAGAGGCAGAGAGTGGAGCCGGCGGGTGGCTCCAGTTACATTTACTAAGGCTGCACTACCAAGTCCTGCAGAGTAGCTAGGATGAAAAAGTAGTAAAACAAGAACCAATTGGGGAAGACCATTAGAATCTGGAAAATGTTTTTATCAAATGACCCAATTCATATAACAGCTGACCCAGACTTCAACACTGAATATTCAAATAGACAGATGAACCCCTATCACATTATGCAGCACTTTCTCCCACACTGAGGCATGTCATTAATTACCAGGTGCCTGTCTTTTTAAGGGTCACTTGGAGGCTTAATTTGTCTAAATGGGGCTCCTTTCCCAAGTTGATCAATATCATTCATCAAGCATTTATTGCATCCCAATTACACGCAGATGCCTGTCTAGACACATGGTGTGGACGGTGCTGATGTGAGTAGACTATGATTTTGAGCTCCACTATCTTCCTCAGCTCATGGTCCAATGGGAATGGGGAATGGATAGTGTATGTACACGAATCCAACATAGAACAGAAAAAGAAGCCCTCCAGAATAGTGGAGAGGACTTGGGGACTCCCAAGGAAAGAAAGTACATTGGAATGGGAGAACAGGGAATCTCCCTGTGCAATGAGACAACTCCGTCCAAACAAGGACAACGACAGCACCTCTGAATCCAAGACCCAGTTACACCAACTCCTAGCTCATGGTCATGGATGGTTTATTTAACTTCTCTGATGTTCAGTTTCCTCTTCTAAAAAGCAGAGTTATCATGTGGATTAAGTTGGGCATGCCTAAAAGCATCTGCAATGTAGTGCCTCCTCTAAAGATGGGAATTTTAAAAAATAGGTGGGGTTTGCACAGATGGAAAGGGAGTAGAGAGGGTGTTCCAGGCAGCAGAACTAGTGTGAGCAAGAAACACAGAAATGTGGAAGTTTGCCTTTTTAAGGAATGGACTAAATATACACAGACACAGTCATACAGGTTTATTTAACATGCCAGATGCATCTACCACATTAGTGGGCTAAATGAAAAAAGCCTTATCTCCATTAGTCAAAAAAGGCATCGATAAAACTCAGCATCCCCCATCACATGCTCTCCTGCCCCATCACATGCTCTCCTGCCCCCAGTCTGAGGCCTGCAACTAACCCTGCCTCTCTTTTTATCCCCCAACCCTCACACAATCCTCTGTGTAGACTACCTCTTCCCTCAAGGATTTGGGATTCTGCAGTTCATTCAACCACCTGGAAGCATTTGTTGAGAGCCTGTTATATGCCAGGTGCTTTGGGGGATCCAGAGAATTCCTAATAAAAGAGATTACAGAAGACCAGATCTTTTAGACCCAGGTTTTTTGGTCTTCACCACTTATCACTTGTATCTCCCTGAGCAAGGTACCGGGCCTGAGCCTCTGTTTCCTAAAATCTAAAATTCAGCATCAAGTGATGATGGTTTATGAAGGTGTTATATATACCCAAACCTGAGATTCTTTTTATGTAGAGATGACCCTTTCAACGGTTTCCATTTGAATCTGTGATGCTTCACTCTATTTCCACTGCGTGCTCTGCTGTGACTTCCTCTCTTAGAAGGTCCCTCCCCATCATTTTCAGACAAGGAAACATTTGCCTACGGGACTGTTCCAAGGTCAGAGGTTAATGTACAAGGAGGCCAGGGACTTCCCTGGCAGTCCAGTGGTTAAGACTCCACACTTCCAATGTAGGGGGCTTTCAATCCCTGGTCGGGGAACTAAGATCCCACATGCCTTGCAGAGAGGCCAAAAAAAAAAAAAAAAAAAACCCAAAACAAAATAACAAGGAGGTCAGGTGTCAGAGCACGTTGGCCTTGAGAGCACTGCTCTGGTTTGTCCTGCAGGCTGTACCAGTCGGTCAAGATCCTCTACGTAATTGGCATCCTGTGCACCTACGCCCTGCAGTTCTACGTCCCTGCAGAAATCATCATTCCCTTCGCCACCTCCCAGGTGTTAAAGCGCTGGGCACTGCCTCTGGACTTGTTCATCCGCCTCGCCATGGTCAGCCTGACATGTGAGTAGGAGGCAGAGCACCTCGTTGCTGTTTTCCTGAGGGTTATCAGGAATCAGCCAGATGGTAGACAATAGTCATGATAACCAGCATTGATTGCATACTGTGTTTCAGGGACCATTCTAAGGCTTTCCAAGTAGTAATTCATTTCATTTATGCTTTAGGGACAACTTAATTCTTACATGTACCTAATTAGACAGATTTACCGGTGTCCAGCTTGAGGGAGTGACAACTTATCAAATAATAATCACAATAAGAACTGACTTTTATTAAACACCTACTATGTGCCAGCCACTGTGCTAAGCTCTTTCTGTTCCATATTTCATAGTATTTTATTTGTTTTTTGTTTGTTTGTTTGTTTGTTTTGCGGTACACGGGCCTCTGACTGTTGTGGCTTCTCCCGCTACAGAGCACAGGCTCTGGACGCGCAGCCTCAGCGGCCATGGCTCACGGGCCCAGCCGCTCCACGGCATGTGGGATCTTCCCGGACCGGGGCACGAACCCGAGTCCCCTGCATCGGCAGGCGGACTCTCAACCACTGCGCCACCAGGGAAGCCCCATATTTCATAGTATTTTATTCAGTCCTTGCAGGAACTCTTATGAGGTAGGACTGTGATAAACCCTACTTTGTAAATGAGAAAGCTGAAGCAGAGAGTGATAAGTAATTGGGCAGGAAGTGCCAGAGGTGGGATTTGAACCCAAGTCCAGGCCCATCACCCTTCACCTCCAGGACAGAGGTTGAAAATGGTGGCCAGTGAGTCTAATCTGGCATCAGAGGTATGTTGTTTCACCCTCATAATGTTGTATAAATTTGGGCCAACATTAAAAATGTGGGAGAGGTCTCACATACAAATGCAGATTTCTAATGTTTGGGGGAAAAATAAAATGATTTGGCAAACCTAGGGTCACATCCCCATTGGCAGCAGTTCCTTGGCCTCCGATGGGCTGGTATTCACCTGTTGGCTTCAACTGTCCCCACTCACCCCCTCGGCAGCCCTCCTTGTGCTCCAGGCCCTATGATCCAGGGTGCCCCTTTCTGTAAGTATTTTAGTGGAGGCGAAGATGACAGAGATTCCTGTGTTGTGCTTGCCATGGCCCAGCTGTCCCTAAGCCTCCTTTTAATTGTGATTCTTGCTGTGCTAGACCAGCCCATATAAATCATGGGACACTGATTTTCTTCCTTTGAAGTTATTTGTTCCCAATTTGTCCTAGGAGGCAGGGACACTACCCTTCAGAATATTAGACTCCAGAAAGATCAATGAATTTGCCCCAGATATGAAGATAACAATTCCTTAAGCTTCTGTATGCATTGCCCCAGTCAGTACATATGCAAACAGTTACTTGCAAACAAGTAATAATAATAAAGTAATAACGAAATAATAACAAAAATAACTTTTCTGAGTGTTTTACACGAATTAACTCATTTAAAACTTTAACACCTGGGCTTCCCTGGTGGCACAGTGGTTGAGAGTCCGCTTGCCGATGCAGGGGATATGGGTTCGTGCCCCGGTCCGGGAAGATCCCACATGCCGCGGAGCGGCTGGGCCCGTGAGCCATGGCCGCTGAGCCTGCGCATCCGGAGCCTGTGCTCCGCAACGGGAGATGCCACAACAGTGAGAGGCCCGCGTACTGCAAACAAACAAACAGAAAACAACTTTAACACCATTTGCAGTATGACCCATAATACCTAAAAGGATAGCTACCATCCCCATTTGGCAGATAAGGAAAAAAGCTGAGAAACGGGTGGAGACTTACCCAAGGCCACACAGGGAGAAACCAGAATCCTGCCTTCCAGTTCTGTTTTGTTCTGTTATACCACACTCCATCCCAGGAGACCTGAGGGAGCCTTCTGGGCTTTCTTTATAACTAGGAAAAGTGTCCATCAGGTAAAATAAAAAATGTAAAAGCCCAGGCCTATAAAACAGCCTACAAAAAAAACTATATAATATATAAATAATATATAATTATATATAAAAATTTAAACATAATTATATATTATATAAATTACATATAATTATATAATTATAAAATATAATTATATAATTATAATTATATCACATATATGTGTATATTATATATATATAATTTCAAAATTTTTATTTTAGCTTTTAGTATTTCTTTGTTAGATGTTTTCTGACATGTATATAAAACCTGGAGAAGATACTGCTTTAGAGGGACCCTGTGATCTTGTTCCCACCGAAGACCCCTTTCTATAAATAATTTCACATTCTAATTTTTTGCAAGTAAGAGGTTCTTTCAGTCATGTTACTTATTAATGTTAGTTCCACGAAGGTAGGGTTTTTTTTTGTCTGTTTTGTACACTGACACATTCCAAACAGCTGGACAGTTCCCAGCACTGTTATTTAGTGTTATTTATTAAGTAAGAGCTTAATCATTGAACATGTAGAGATTCGAAATATACTTCCGTGGCATAAAAATTATCTTAGGCTAAAAGCATTAGAACAAGCAGCCACAGGGGGCACAAAACCTTATCTAAACTTCCTTTGCTGAATTAAGCAGGAACTTCTGAAAAATACAGGCACCATAAATCCCCTTTCTGGGAGATTTTCAATCAGAAAGAAGACTAACCATCATCACAGACTGAGTAATTACTTAAATTATCAGAGAATGTCATACCTTCCACTTGTTCTTGCATGGAAGCTATTTCTCCCCCATTCAGTTCCCCTTCTTTGTTTGGAAAGCCAATTCATCTGAAGGCTCCCTAGCCCTAAATAAACTTTGTCTTTCTGCCTGTTAATTGCCTAATTGTCAGTTAAATTCTCAGGCCCCCAAACACTTGAACCTGAATGGGAAGAGGGAAGGTTTTTCTCCCCAACAATATGAATGTATATATTTGAACAATAATTTGTTGAAAATGATTGAAAGGAGACACACCAAAATTTTAATGTATAAACCTCTAGTGAATGTGATTGGGGGTATTACAGGAGTTTCAACTTTTTCTTTAAGTAACTGAATGTATGAGAAACAACTGGTATATGTTTTAAGAAAAAGATTTTTAAAACAAACTTTAAAATTTTGTCTAAGCCTGGGAAGAGCCTTCTATCCCGTATCATCTCCCGCAGGCATCTTGGCCATCCTTATCCCCCGCCTGGACCTGGTCCTCTCTCTGGTGGGCTCCCTGAGCAGCAGTGCGCTGGCCCTCATCATCCCACCCCTCCTGGATATCACCACCTACTACTCAGAGGGCATGAGTCCCATCACCATCATCAAGGACGCCCTGATCAGCATCCTGGGCTTCGTGGGCTTTGTGATGGGGACCTACCAGGCCCTGGAGGAGCTGATCCAGTCAGAAGACCCTCTCACCTTTTCCAACTCCACCATTTTTATTCAGTGAAAATGGCACTGCTTCTTACCCACCAGCACCTGACATTTAATGATATAAAATCTCTTTTATATGCATTATCTATATTTTGCTGCTTTACCTTTCTCTGAGTCAAGTCACAGTGAAACAAGCACGGACTCACCAGCTACAAGGTCTAGATGGTAATTTAAAAAAATTTTTTTTAATTTATTTTCTTTCCATCTCTAGCCTTCCACTACACTGAGAGCTCTCTCACTGAAGGCTCTTGATTCCATTGGGTTTTTGGCAATTCACACGATGAATTTCACACCTTGAGTGGGGCTATGCAAGAGGAAGCCACCAGGGGGCATCCAAGAGGCATCACCTGACAGAAGGAGGTGCAGCCAGCTAAGGCTGATGGTGATTTGGTAGACAAAGGGTGTCCTCTTTTCCAGATCTGTTTAAAGAGCAAAGATTAAGAGTAGGGACATAATCCATAATCCAGCAAGGTGTGCACAGCTCCAGCGTCAAGATGGACAGGATCCACAGGTCCATGGTGAGCTGCAACTCTCAGACAGAAAGGAACCACCATATTTAAGTCAAGGGGAATAAACTTTCTAAACAACTGGATAAAGTTTTGGCCCAATTCAAAGATATCAACAAGGGACAGTCATCACAGAAATGGATGTGCCAATGGCGGGGGGTGGGGGGTAGGTTGGGGATGGACAATGATTATTTCATTATTTATCTCTTGATTCTTTTTTTTCCTTTAACCTCTTGATTCTTGCAACAAGCGTTCTTTCTTACCTACCACACACCAAGCATAGTTCAAAGTTCTTGTAATAGTTTGCAAAAATGGCGACAAATTCCTCTTGACAATGTGACATTGCAGCTCCCATCAAGAAGTGAAATCTATATCTCTACCCCTAGAATCTTGTCTTGGCCTTGTAACTTGCTTTGGCCAATGGGACATTAGTAAATGTGATGCAAGCAGAGGTTTCGTGATGGCTAATGCATTGGAACTTTCATCGTGATGCTCTGTGTAGATAAGAGCACCAAGTGAAGAAGCCGGGGCTAGCCTGCTGGAGGAGGAGAGACCACGTGGAGCAGAAATGAGTCATCCCAGGTGAGCCCCATCTCCCAGAACAGCCAGCCTGCCGACTTCCAGACACGTGAGTGAAGTATCCTAGACTATATACAGCCCCAGTCAAGCTGGCCTGGACCATAAATATTGCTCACATGATCCACAGAATTATGAGAAATAATAAATGTTTTTAGTTTTAAGCCATAAGATGTGGAAGCTTTTATGCAGCAAAAGCTAACTGATACATTACTCTAAGGGGGATACACTAATGAGTGAGAAAAGAATCTCCGTCCTCCAGCTAATCTGCTCTCCACTGGGGAATAATGACAGGTCATCAACTAAGTTAATACCATCATAGGTCCTTTTGAGGGCAGGGGGACACTAACTGCTCTGGAGTACTGAGCATGTCTTTCCACCGGTGGCACCATTAGAGCTGGATTTTGAGTAGAACTTGGGTCTCCCAACACTGAATCTGACCCTTCTTCCACTCAATCCTTCTGCCTTGACATTCCCATGCCTTTTGTCATGTCTGACCTTGGCTGACAGCCAGGAGCCCCTCAACCCAACACAGCACTTCACCCTTCTTGGTGGCTCCCTTCTTGGCTCCCTCCCTCTTCCCTACAATCACTAAAATTGGGGAAAGGCATATAGATAAATGAGATGTTGTAGGCAGATCTGTAGTTTAGTGGGGGGTAAGGATGTTTCTTATTACACTCTCTATGGTGTTGGAAAGTGACCCATGCTTGTTTCAGCCTCAGTTTTAAGATACCATTTTAAACAGCCCTTTCCTGCTTATTTTTATCCATCATCCTCCCTTTGCAGCCTAGGGAAGTTACGGAGGGGTGAGGGGCATGTCTGCCCCAATTCCCAAGTCCTGGTCTCCTGTTTTTGTGTGTTACTTTCTACCTGCTGGATTCCAGAAGGTACTTCATGAACACAAGCTCCACACCCAGATCCCATAGTCTGCAGAGTACCTGCTGGGAGCTGGGACACTCATAGCCTCTGCAGTGGTCCACAGCCTACCTGGCCAGAGAGCTGGGTCATCATTTCTACATCAGAAATGTAAAAGACCCAAAGGACTTCCACCGAGTGGTTCAGAGCCTTGGCAAAGTGGTCTTCCTCTCTCTGAACCTGTCTCCTCCACCTGGCTCAACTGTCACCCCACCCAACCTTGCTAAGTTTAAGATTGTTTTCTCTGTTATTAAAAAATGGTCACTCTCATTCTCCAAGGACAAGTCCCTACTGTGTAAGATGATCAGGTTAATCTTATCATTTAGACCAGTCTGGCTAAAGTTAAATCTTGGAAAGAAAAAAATAAATTTAGCAACATGGATATAAGCAATAAAAGCAATCTGGGGAGACTTATTAGTAATTGTCAGCAACACTAAAGATACCAACTATTAGAATTGTGTGAGTGTTGGGGTTATTAAAATTTTTTAATTGTTCGATACTGGGTTTTTACATACACACACACACACACACACACACACACACACACACACACACACAGAGGCCTCCCCGTCCCTACCCCCCTACTGATTCTTTAACTTTGGGAGCTTGCTTTTGAATCAAGGATCAGAGAAAATCATTCCATTCCTCAGTGAGCACTTTTTAAGTGTTTTGCATGTGATTATCTCATTTAATCCTTACAGTGAAACCATGAGGTATGTATTGTCATTGTTCTCGTTTTCAGATAAGGAAATAGGCTTAGAAATATTGAATAACTTGCTGACGATCAAACATGTAGTGACAAATGGGTTCAGGACTGAAGACTTTCCACACCAACACTCCTCACTGCTTTGTAGAGAGCCCAGGAGAGACCTTTGAATGATGGTGGTTAAAGTAAAAATGGGGAAAATGTGTCCAGTGGATTACACATTTTAAAAAATTAGAAACCCCACAGCCTCTCTTTATAAGTAATAAATCAGCTGTGAACTGAAGAGGGGGTTTCTGGAGACTGTATGGTGAATCAGGAGCAAAGCAGGATTTCCTTGCCACCCTTCAAGTCTCCCTGATGCTATTTAAACTCTTTTCAGGCCTAGAGAGAGAAGAAAGTCTTCCCTACTTTTTATACAAAGATATCCTGATTCTGATACCAAAATCTGACAAAGCACACAGAAAAACCATGACCGAATATAAACATAAATACAAGCATCTTTGGGACTTCCCTGGTGGCGCAGTGGTTACGAATCTGCCTGCCAACGCAGGGGACACTGGTTCGAGCCCTTGTCCGGGAAGATCCCACATGCCGCGGAGCAACTAAGCCCACGCACCACAACTACTGAGCCTGCGCTCTAGAGCCCGTGAGCCACAACTACTGAGCCCACATGCCACAACTACTGAGCCCACATGCCACAACTACTGAAGCCCACGCACCCAGAGCCCATGCTCCGCAATAAGAGAAGCCACCACAATGAGAAGCCCGTGCACCACAATGAAGAGTAGCCCCCGCTCGCCGCAACTAGAGAAAGCCCGCATACAGCAACGAAGACCCAACACAGCCAAAAATTAATTAATTAAAAAATAATCTGCAAAATCATTATCTTTCCTACATACTAATTGTCATCAAAAAAACAAAATGAGTGGAATGATATCAGCAACATGGAGTGTACAGCTACCTCTCTCTCTCCCCCCTTCAACCTACAATCAGTCAAACATCCACAACTCAATAAAGGCACCTCTGCCCAACACACGAGGACACTAGAGAATTCTAAACATCTGTATACCTAAAGGTGGGTAGACTGAAACACATAAAGGAGGCAGAACTGAGGGACCAGCAGAGTGGGTGCCTGCAATCCCAGCCCTTTGACCGTGGCAGCTAAGCCGCAGCTTCAGAGAACCCAAGAGCAGAAGGGGAGGTGGAGCACACAACTCCGGCCTCCTGACCACAGCTGTGCCTGAGGCCAATAAATAGCGTTCAATAAATAGTCACATGCAAAGAAATGAAACTAGACCATTATCTTACACCATACCCAAAAATCAACTCAAAGTGCATTAAAGACTTGAATATAAGACATGAAACCATAAAACTCCTAGAAGAAAACATAGGCAGTACACTCCTTGACATCAGTCTTAGCAATATCTTTCTAGGTATGTCTCTTCAGGCAAGGGAAACAAAAGCAAAAATAAATGGGACTACATAAAACTAAAAAGCTTCTACACAACAAAGGAAACAATCAATAAAAGGAAAAGACAACCAACTAAATGGGAGAAAATACTTGGAAATGATATATTCAATAAGGGATTAATATCCAAAATATATAAAGAACTCATACAACTCAACAACAACAAAACCCAAATAACCCATTTAAAAAATAGGCAGAGGAGCTGAATAGACATTTTTCCAAAGAAGACATACAAATGGCCAATAGGCACATGGAAAGATGCTCAACATCACTAATTATAAGGAAAATACAAATCAAAACCACAATGAGATATCACCTCACACTGGTAAGAATGACTGTTATCAAAAGGACAAGAAATAACAAGTGTTGGTGAAGAAGCAGAGAAAAGGGAACTCCTGTGCACTATTGGTGGGAATGTAAATTGGGGCAGCCACTATGGAAAACAGTATGCAGATTCTTCAGAATTCTCCAAGATTCTTCAGATTCTACAAGAACAGACCTACCATATGATCCATGTATCCCACTTCTGGGCATTTATCCAAATAATGTAAAAACACCAATTTAAAAAGATAAACGAACCCCTCTGTTCACTGTGTTACTATTTACAAGAGCCAAGATACGGAAACAGTGGATAAAGAATAAGTGGTATATATATATATATATATACATACACACAACAGAATACTACTAAGCCACCAAAAAAGATAAAATCTTGCCATTTGTGACAATATGGATGGAACTTGGGGGTATTACGCTAAGTGAAATAAGTCAGACAGGGACTTCCCTGGTGGCGCAGTGGTTAAGAATCTGCTTGCCGATGCAGGGGACAGGGTTCAAGCCCTGGT